ATACCACAGAGTCCTCTTCATCTCTTTTAGTGGTTAATAACACCTTATTAGTGAACAATTCTTTATATTAATTTTCCCTATTTCATCTAGGGGTACGTTTCTATCTCCTAACTGAACTCTGACATACACATGATATGTACATATATTAGTATGCTGACAGGTACACACAAACACACACATACAACAGCACAAAGAATCAAGTACTGATGTACAGTTCCGACATTACAAGTGAAGTAGTCTGTTATGTGAAGGTAGAGTGTAACAGCACAATATAAACCTTAAACACTGAGAGTTAATAAGTCAATAGTGGTAGTAAAATGAGATCCTACATAACACTGAAATAGTTTTAAATAAGGAGAGGGGCGCCTGGGTGGCTTAGTCGGTTAAGCGTCCGACTTTCGCTTAGGTCATGATCTCGCGGTTCGTGGGTTCGGGCCCCGCGTCGGGCTCTGTGCTGACTGCCAGCTCAGAGCCTGGGGCCTGTTTCAGTCCGTGACTCCCTCTCTCTCTCTGACCCTCCTCTGCTCACGCTGTCTCTCTCTCTCCTAGAAATAAATGAAATTATTAAAAAAAAAAAAGAAATAAGAAAAGAGGGAAAAAATAAATAACAGCTAAGACACATAGAACACAAATTGTAAGATGGTTAACTTAAACTGAATCATTTCAGTAATCCCATAAATGTAATATGACCTAAACTAACTCCAGTTAAATGGCCCAGGTTGTCAGAATGGTCAAAAATCCAAGAACCAACTAATGTTGACTTCAAGAAACTTACTTGAAAAGACACAGAGAGGTTAAAATAAAAGAACGCAAGTTCCAATTCAGTACAGCAAAATAAACTCCCACCAGACAGATCCTCTGGCAGATAACAACTAAAATGCTAAAACATACACACACACACACACACACACACACACACACACACACACACACACGACTCTAAGGCAATGCAGAATAAACAAAAACAAGCTGTCCTGGAGAAGAGTCAAAACTTAGAAGAAGGAATGGCACTGGGTGAGTTTGAGTTTTGTTTTTTAAACCACATTTAGCGTAAGGCAGGGTACAGACAGCTACCATGCAAAGGCGACAAAATTCTAATAGAAAACTTCAGTCTTACTAAAGAACAGGAGAAAAGAGTTCAGAGAAACCATGACCGCTGGCAAGTAAAGGAAGAATACCAGAAAAGAAGAGCCAGGGAATCGTGACCCCCCAAATTCTATTTATAGATTTTGCCTAAACCAATGGCAATCCCAGAACCATGCAAATAGGGAAGAAACTACAGTCCAGGTAAAAGAACTGGGCTGAGCGTTCAGCCGCCCTCCAAAAACCACTTTACTTGTCTGAGTCAAACCAGGTAAATTACCTCCTAAGGCAAAAATATCAACACTCTCTAAATGAATACAACAGATTCCAGTCTCCAAGACATAACCTCCCCAATTATCATGATATAATAATCTAAAAGCTCAAGATAACCAAAATGTTGGAATTTGCAGACAAGAAATTTTTATATAGATATACATAGTGATCTAAAGTAAAATATGCCTGTAATATAAAGACAGGAAATTGAGAGAGAGAAAGAGAGAGAGAGAACAAAAGAAAGCCCTAAAACTGAAAAAATTACTACGTGAAGGTAAATAACAGAATGAATGTTACAAAGGAAAGAGTTTATGAACTTTGAGAAAAATCAATATAAATGATCTAATCTAAAATGCAGAGAGGAAAAAGCTTGAAGGAAACATGAATAGTGCCTCTGAGGAATGTAGGACATTAACAGATGTAACATGTGTAAACAGTACCCAAGAAGGAGAAAGGAAACAGTGCATAAAAAATATTCAAAAAACTAATAATTGAAAATGTATTAAATTTGGAAAAAGACAAATTCACATATTCAAGTAGCTCAGCAAAACTCCAACATAAATACAAAGATAATTATACCAAGACGCATCATAGTTAGATTTCTGAAAACCAAACAACAAAGTCTTGAAAGTAGCCAGAGAAAAATAATATATTAATAAATGTGGAAAATGCTTAAAATCCCATCTATTATATATAATATATGCACATAATATATAATATATACCAAATATATTACTTATATTTCATACATGATTATTAATATGCCATTATTCTTCTAATATTTAATAATTAATGTATAGTTAAGTTAATATGTGTATTTAATAATTATATTATTGTAGAATGTAATATATTTAACATATATTTAACATATGTATAATTATATATAATATATACATAACATATAATAGTTATAAATTATTCATTGTTATAGGATATAACTTTATATTACATATAAACATTTACATATTATGTTACATATATTATATAAAAATACTTTTAAAGGGCTCAAAGGAAAACACCGTCAAGCCTGAATACAACCACCATAGTATACATAATACAGTTTGGGGTATCATGTTGCGATCATCTCCATCTTCATGACTGTTTCACTTTTCTGCCTGAAGTCCTCAAGAATTTTTTCTTTAAAGTCTGAAAAAGGCTTTGAATAAATTCCACACCCAATGCTAATATAAATTCTTGAGAAGTCAGAATTGATGATGCGGTGGGTAGTCCCTACTGATCTGCACTAATTAGCATTTAGGCTCTTGTGTAACAGCCTCCCATTAAGTGTGGTCTGGACCTACCGACTTGTTTCTAGCGAAGAGAATATAGCGAAAGTGATGGGAGGTCATGTCCATGATTAGATTAGAGAAAGGCTGTGGCTCCTGTCTTGCACACCCTCTCTTGCTTTTCCCCTTGTGCTGATGGAAGCTGGGCAACACTGCAGAGAAACCACGTGTCAAGGAACTAAGGGATTTAGTCCTCCCGCCAACAGCCCGCTAGGAGCTGAGACCTTCAGACCAACAACCTGAGATTAACTGAATCCTGCCACCCACCACCATGAATGAACACAGAAGAGGATACTTCCTTAGTTGAAAGCTCAGGTAAAAACAGCAGCCCTGGGCAATGACCTTGACTATAGCTTTGAAAGTGACACTGAGGCCAAGATACCCAGCTAAGCCAAGTCCAGATTCTAGACCTTCAGAAAATATGAGATAATAGATATTTATTCTTTTAAGCACCCTTACCTACAGTTTAAGCCACTACATTCTGGGATAATTTGTTAAGCAGCAATAGATTATTATTACAAATGGATATTTACTTAACACAATAGAATACACACACATTAATTATAAAGTCAGCATCTTTCTTATGGGCCAACCCTGGAGGGATTCCCACTAAGGTCAGAAACAAAGCAAGGAGGCCCATGATCTCAAGTACAATTTCACATGGTTCTGGAGGTTCTGGAGGGACTAGTCAATGCAATTGGTCTAGAGAAAATAATTAAAGGCATTAAGGTTTAGAAAAAAGGAAACAACACTATCTGTATTTTCAGACGTCAGTATTCCTGAAAAACCCTGAGGAATCAATGATAAAACTAACTTAATAAGATTTCAGCAAGGTAGCAGGATATAAAGTTAACATACGAAAACCAACAGTGCTCATATATTGAAAACTTAATCACGTAGAAGAGCTAACAGGTAAGAAAATCCATTTACACTAGCAAAAAATTATGTATTAAATATTTAAGAATATACTTTAGAAATGTTCAAAACCTCTATGAAGGAAACTATACAGAACCTATAAAAACAAAAAGTAGACTTAAAATAACATTAAGACATCCTTCTTGGAGATATATACGGAAATATTTAGAGGTAAAAAAAACCACGATGTACGCAACACTCTCAAAGGCTTCAAAAAATATGCATGTATATATATACATATATACACACACACATATATAAAGAGAATGAAATTAAAAACTTGATAAAGCAAATGGGGTAGAACATTACCAAAGATGTTTAAACTGAATCTAATAAAGAGAAAAAAAACCAGACAAATCTGAACACTACTTTAAAGACACTGGGAATGGGAGGAATTAAGGTAATTAAAATATGAAATGTATATTAGATGATATTACTGAGTTAATATTACTTTTAATGTGTGATAATAGTATAATTAAGTGCAATATTGCCCTTATTCTTAGGAGATACATACTAATATATTTAGTAGTAAAGTATCATAATGTCTGTAATTTGTGCGTGTGTGCTTATGAGAGAGCAGGAAAGGAAGGAGGGAGGGAGAGGGTAGGGGACAGAGAGAGCAGATGTGGCAAAATGTTAACTGGTTAAATTTAGGTGAACTGGATATGGGTGTTCACTGTACTAAGCTTTCCACTTTTCTGTTACTTTGAAATCTTTCAAAATAAAAAAAAAATGGAGGGGGGAGACAGGGAATGACAGACTCCCAGCTTAAAGAGGGAGGTATAAAGTTAGTTTTCCTTACTTTACCTCCTGAAAATTTTGCCAAATAATTAAGAGAACAAGAAACGGCAATGCAAACTCATTCTTCAACACAATTAGGAGGGAGCTGGAAAGAGAAAGATTCTAAATTTAATCTTCCTCACGGGTAAGTCAATAGAGACTTAAAGTTGATACACCAAAAAACAAAGGTGCAAACATATTATTTCACATTATGGAGACAATTGTCAAAAGAACTAAAAAAAAAAAAAAAAAAAAGAAGTGTGGAGGACACAGCGAAGTCGGCTTTCACTTTGTATTTTAAATCTTTTATACTACTGGACTATTTATATCAAGTATCACATGTAGTAACAATAATATATCTTCTCAATTACACTGACTATCCAGAAGGATTCTATGACAAGAGGCTGGGGGCGGGGGAGGGGGGAGTATCTTTCAGCATCTTTACTCTCTTGAAGTGAAGTATTTAAAACACAAATTTAAACGGTAAAATACTTTAAAATACTATTGGGGTTGGCAGAACTTCAGGTCTACCTACATGAACACTATGACCATGACACCAAAATAAAATAAATGAATGCATTAAAATGTATATCCTATTATTTCAAACAACTTAAAATCATTTTCATTCTTGTTGTTTATAAAAATGTGAATAAACAGACTCACAGTTCCACAAGGTTTGGAAGCTTCTGAGCAAGGTTTTCTGGCTGAAAATTAAAAACTCAGAATTAAATTTTATTTTTGAGAAATGTACAAACAGTTCTAACGAGCTCTAACACAAAGTATCTTTGGAGGCGGGCAGTGTAAATCTGGAGGAAATAATGCAAAAATAATAAAGCAGCAGGTCTGGGTTTTATGCTTATGTGGCCCATACTACAGTTTACATCTATAAACTTGAACGCTTAAAATCAGTGTCTTGGGGCGCCTGGGTGGCTCAGTCGGTTAACGTTTGACTCTTGATTTCGGCTCAGGTCATTCATTACCTTGCAGTTTCATGGGTTCAAACAGGGCATTGGGCTCTGCACTGACAGTGCGGAGCCTGCTTGGGACTCTCTCTGCCCCTCCCTTGCTTGCTCTCTCTTTTTCTCTCAAAAATAATAAACAAATTTTAAAAATAAAATAAATAATAAATAAAATCAGGGTCTCTCTGAGAAACTAGAAACCTTGTATTCCATGGTCATGGAAGAAGTTACACTGTTCTTAACAGACGCACACAGGGAAGAATGCCATTTGATAATGGAGCCAGATACTGGAGTGACACAGACAAGGACCATCAAGGATCACTGGCAAGTACCAGAACTGAGGAAAAGTTAACAGATTCTCCCTCAGTGTCCTGAGAAGGAGCCAGCCCTGCCCACATCTTAATTTTGGACTTCCGGCCTTCAGAACAGTGAGAGAATCCATATCTGTTCTTTTAAGCCCCCTATTCTGTATAATCTGTTACAACAGCCCTAGAAAACTAATATTCACACCCCAAACTCCCAATTTGTGTGCCTTGGGGAAAAAGAAAATAAGGGAAATCTCCAAGCGCCAGAAAACCAGACCCAAGTAAGCTCAAGACAAAGTGGTCCTGGGGCTCAGGGGGTCTGGGGGTGGGGTGTGGCATGGGTAGGAAGCAGGCCACTGGAAAGACAGGCTGGGATGAATCTAGGTGCCTTACACAGTCCCGGTTTTGGAGGGATTGGCCCTTCCACAAAAAGAATCCCAGAAATTCCAGTCACACATTGCAAGTAAGCTTCTCTCTGCTGGAGGCTCAGGGGTAAAAAGGAAAAGCCTCCTCTAAGCAACTGAAAGCCAGCCTGCATCTCTCTCTCTCTCCTTCCCACTCCCTCTTCCCTCCCCCATCCCCTCAAGTTCAAATTTACACAAACACAAAGACAGGAGTTGTTAAGACTGAAGGAGCACACTGAGTCAGGAGTAATATATATATATTTATTCTACACTCGAACATACCGTAGGGTAAGCTAGGTATCAATAACAGAGAATCATGAATTGTTTTTTAGGAGTAATTAGGTGTAGCTGGAGTCCTGAAAGACAAATAAAATTTTCAGAGGTTGCTGTGGGGCAGAGGAAGGTTCTGATCAGCTTTCTAGGCACAAGAAGCAACACAGGAAAATGTGAGACAGGGAGGTACGTCTGGGAAATTGCAAATACAATCTATTCTGCTGTAACTCCCCAACACTACTCCTGAACAGATCTTACACTTCTAAAAATCCTGTTATAAAAACAATTGTGTTAATAGAAAAACAAAAGTGTTGAGGACTGGAAGGTTTTGTATTTGTAACAAACTAATTTTTCAGACAGAAACTGAGTAACAAGATCATCATTAGAAAAACGGTGAGGGCTGCTATCTATTCTCCACTCTACTATCATTAGAATTTTTAACAGTGAGCACGTTAGGTCGCAAATAATTGAAAAACATTACATTCGATAATGTGGTATGCACATAAACTACTACATAACTGGGGCACCTCAGTGGCTCAGTCGGTTAAGTGTCCGACTTCGGCTCAGGTCATGATCTCACAGTTCATGGGTTCGAGCCCCATACTGGGCTCTGTGCTGACAGCTCAGGGCCTGGAGCCTGTTTTGGAATCTGTCTCCCTCTCCCTCTGCCCCTCCCCTGCTCGTGCTGTCTCTCTTTCTCTCAAAGATAAATAAACATTAAAAGTTTAAAAAAACCCTGCTACGTAACTGAGTAATCAATCATATTATATCCAATTTGGGTTCTAAACACTTAGTAAGAGAAACACCATTAGTTTGGTATGTCTGGGCCACAGGGTATGAAGGTCTATAATGACTTTGCAGACTGGTATGGAACAGATCACTATAACTTATATTTTATAAAATTGGAAAGCTTTTTAAAAATTCTCAGCACAATAAAAATCCCCACTGGTTTATTTTAAACAAGGAGATGACATTACCGCTTTAAGCTGGCATACTGATGAATTTAAATACTTAGCAACAGCATCCAAAGCTGCTTATATATACACATATCCTTTTCCTTTTATGATAACCAAATACTGAATACGAATATTGTTATGAAGACAACGAAGCATTTACTGAGTACCCATTTTTGGTAAAATCGTTTATATTTAGTTTTCAAATCCTGAATGCTGTGATTTTTTTTTTTTTTTTTACATGTTTTGATATCAATATCCGCAATGAGGTCCTTCACGCAAGTCTTTCTGCAGATGTTACTCTTGGATCTATAGAAATCCTCAAAACGTTTCTTTTAGTGCAGGTATCTCCTCTTTTGAGGAGCACAGCACTTCCATTTATGGGCGCACATACAAAGCTTCCTAGGCAAACCAGGCAACTATAGGGATGGGAGAATGAGGGGAGGGGGCAGTAAGAGGCTTCATAACAGCTGGTCCTCTAAAAAGGAAAGACTGATCCAGAAAAAAAGACCCTCATCTATTTGATCTGCTACAATCAATATCACATCTTGACCTGTGATCATTCTTTCCAGATGACTATTTGGCGTCATCCAACAGTATCCTAATCTTCCCATGAGAAACAGGTTAGCTCTTTTGAGCTATACAGCTTCACACACAATTAAGCACTGAATGAGGTTTCTGCTGCTAATGGTGCCTCACTATATCTTTATCAATGAGTAGATACACTGTGTCTTTATTTAAAAATAAGCAAGTTGACCTCAAGAAAATTGCAGTTCATTACCATACAGGTGGGGGGGGGGGACCCAAACCCTTATTAGTACCAGCCCGCCCACTGCACGGGCCGTGACTGACACCTACTGGTAAGCCTCACTGAATTACTTTCTACTAAACTAGCTGAAAATGTTTTCTATATTAAGCCAAAATTCTCTGCATTAAATCCCACAATGCACTTAGCTGAACAATTTTTCTTTCCAAGGAATGTAAAAGCAAGCAGGTTTAACTATAAAATTTACCTCTAATTTTGAATCGACGTTTTACTACACCCTTTTAAGGAAAACTGTCTACTTCCTTAAATGTGAACTTTTTAAAGAAATTTTTCTCAAAGCTTATTTATTTTTGAGAGAAAGAGCACAAGTGGAAGAGAGGCAGAGAGAGGGGGAGACACAGAATGTGAAGCAGGATCCAGGCTATGAGCTGTCAGCACAGAGCTCGATGCCAGGCTCAAACCCACGAACCATGAGATCATGACCTGAGCTGACATCGGATGCTTACCCGACCGAATCACCCAGGTGTCCTGCGAACATTTTTAAATTGTGTATCTTGGAACAAACAGTTCAAATATGTTGCAAACACTATATTGAGTGACATGCTCTGGTAGGCACTGTGTACCACCTTCTTTTTCTTTCTCTTTCTGGTAGGAATGCGTTTGTCTCTTCAAGCTGGATACGGCTAAGTGACTTACTCTGGTCAGTGATATTATGTTGAAGCAGTAGCCTTCAAGAGTCTGAACTATAAGAACTAAAGTGCATTTAATTCATGACTTTGAAATGTGTCATTACAAAAACTAGAAAGCTTGTTGGGTGTATTGTGACGGTTTGTGAATGATAACGGGTTTTTTCCCCTTCAGTCACCAAACTTAACTTTTCAAAAAAAAATGTTTGTTTATTTATGGAGGGGGCAGAGGGAGAGAGAGAGATGAAGAATCCCAAGCAGCCTCCAACACCCAGGGCAGAGCCCACTAAGGGGCTCCATCACAGGACTGTGAGATCATGACCTGAGCTGAGCCACCCAGGTGCCCCTAATTAACTTTGTTTTTATTTAAAAAAAAAAATAAATTTTTTGGGGGTGAAATACAGAAAGCTACATAAAAGTTCACAAAGTTAGGGGAGTCTGGGTGGTTCAGTTGGTTGAGTGTCCGACTTCAGCTCAGGTCATGATCTCAGCGTCTGTGAGTTGGAGCCCCATGTCGGGCTCTGCGCTGACAGCTCAGAGCCTGAAGTCTGCTTTGGATTCTGTCTCTCTCTCTCTCTCTCTCTCTCTCTCTCTCCCCCCCTCTCTCTCTCTCAAAATAATAAATAAATATTTCTTTTAAAAAAAGTTCAGAAAGTTCACAGTGACCTCCACATGATGGAAACTCTGTCAGTCTTCATATCCGACTGTGGACACCATGGAGCAGAGTCCCCAGGCAGTATGAAGTCACGGCAGTGTGCGTAAAAGAAATAACTCTGCCATTAAAAAAAAAAAAAAAGAGGGCGCCTGGGTGGCTTAGTCGGTTGAGCGTCCGACTTTCGCTTAGGTCATGATCTCGCGGTTTGTGGGTTCAGGCCCCGCGTCAGGCTCTGTGCTGACTGCCAGCTCAGAGCCTGGAGCCTGTTTCAGTCTGTGACTCCCTCTCTCTCTGACCCTCCCCTGCTCACGCTGTCTCTCTCTCTCCTAGAAATAAATAAAACATTAAAAAAAAAAAAAAAAAAGAAAGAACTCTGCTGTTATGAACCGCTAAGACTCAGGGTTCAGCAAAATCTGCTCCATTTCTGACCTCTAAAAACACATGTCAGAGACGTCATGGATTAAATGTATTTATAGCAGTTATAAAACGCAGAATGAAGTTGGACCTCTAACCTGACACTATCTACAAAAATTAACTAAAAATGGATTGACTTAAAGAGAACAGCTGAAACTGTAAAACTCATAGAAAAATTGAAATAAACCTTTATCATTGTGGATTTGGCAACGGATTCACAGATATGACACCAAAAGCATGAGGAACAACAGAAAAAAGAGATACACTGGACTTCACCAAAATTAAAAAC